TAAACAACGGCCTCCTAAAGCCTCGTCTGTGTTTTACAGCTGGTGTTGAGCACTTGCGCAGGCGGGCGAGGTGGCCAAAGTGCTCTCTGAACATGAGCCGTTTAAACCTTGCGAAAGCGCCGAGGTGGAGGTGGTGCTGGTGGGGTGGGAGGGCGCGCTGAGACAGCTGAAGAGATTGACCCGAGGCCGTGCAGGAAGCGAGGGATGGCTCAGGGGTTAAAAATAGGAGCTCCCGGGCCCAAACTTGGGAGCAAACTGTGCTGCTTTTGTGTGGTTCAGGTGAAAATGTGTTTTGTGTAGTCCTGCACTAATACAGGTGCGCAGCTTGCTCACAAATGAGCGTATTCAGGAACACAAACATGAGTGTGTTAGGGCTGCTGTGTGTACACAGCAGTGTCCATAGAGAGCAAACACCAAGCTCCCGTTCTGAGGCGTTTATCTAGGGTGAAATAATGTTTGATCTTTTTGGCATTGTTTTGAACTGTGTTTCCATATATGCCTGTTGTGCTGCTCACAGAGTCACAGAACCATTAGGGTTGGAAGGGACCTCTGGAGATCAGCCAGTCCAACCCTTTGAAATGGTTTGGGCTTGTGCATTAAGGACAGTTCATAAAATGTGTGTCTTCACACACGCTGCATGGTGTGACCCTCATGCTTGTACTGACCTTTGTAGACTCTGACACTAAAGCTTTGTCTGTGGGAACAGGTCCAGAGCTTTTACTCCCTTCATAATAACATTAAAAGGTTCCAGTGTGCAGTTCCCTCAGGGTCCTCTTTGGGTTTTCCATCCAGCCTTGGATTAACAGTGTTTGGGACTGTCCTGTGAGGGGCCTGGGCATGCTTAGCACTTCCCAAATAAGTGGTGATGCTGCCTCAGCAGAACACATCCCAGATTGAGCTTTCTTTAGTAAGTACTCCAGAATGAACCCAGTGTGTTATTAGGGCACCCTCGGACATCTGGGGGCTCTGTTTAGTTTTGGCATCTGAGGGTAAGCTGCCTTCATAGGTGGCAAAATTCTTAGTGTGTTTCTTTAGCTTGTCATTTATAGCTTTCTAATCAGAACAGGTATTTTTAGCTTTTATAGACTGTATTCTGAATATGTTTGGAACTTGATGGAAGTGGAAGCAGCCAGGGTGCTTAAAATGGAGCTCTGTAATTCAGGGCTATGCACTGCAGAAATGTGCTTGTGTGTATCATTTTGAAGGCAGGGGGAAAGGAAAAGAAAGCCCTCAGTGCTGAAGAAGAAATTAATGCTGTAGGACAAGATGGGAGGGCAGAGATATATGAACAGACCTGAAATAGGCAGTGGATATAAAAAGGAGATGGGTGGAGAAAGAGAAACTTAGAAGCTGCTTCAACCTCTAAATTGATTTTCTTTTCCCCACTGATGGAGTCTCTTAAATAAATGTCTTGAGTTGTTTTCATGTTAAAGCCCAAGTACAGAACAGCCCCATGTGAAGGCTTGTGAATAGGAAGACAAAGTTTGCTTTTGTTCTCTCTTCCCTGAACAGATCTTGCCTCCTGGAGCAGCCAAGGCAGGAGTTGCATATTCTTGAATGGAATAAATGTGTCTGGCTGAGTAAACTTGGCTTTGGGCTTTACAATGTGCCCAGTGTCTGCTCGCTAATATCTATATACACTTTAATTCTGACTGTATGTACATGATACAGGGGGATACTCTCAGGCTGTAGTGTTCTGTGCACACTGAACTACCAGGGGGACGCTCTGCAGGCTTTCTTCTGCTGCTTTATTAGCAGTAGCTCATGGTTTAGTTAAAGCTGAGATGGGTGCAGAGGGGAAACCTGTTCTCTTACAGCTCTGGTGGCTTTTCTTATGTTGATATTTCCTTGCTTTACTGTGCTTGCTTTACTGTACTTGCTTTCTGCTCTAGTAGGTGTTGGGGCTCAGTAATTATTTGCTTGGGGTGAAAAGAGTTCTGCATGTCAGTTGTTTTGGTTTTTGCTTAATGGCTTTTCTTGCAACAAGAAGGCTGTTAAGAGAGTGTATTTGAACCTCTCTGTTTACTGGGGAAGGAGTATTTCCATTTTGCTTGTTGTGTAATCTCTGACTGATCATTTTCTCTTGGCAGGAGTCAGCAGGCAGTTATTTAAGCTCCTTCACATGATTTGAAATGACTATCATAAAAATTAAATAACAACTGAGAAATAATGCTTATTCTTTAACTAATTTGAGGAGGTGAACTTGGTGGGATAGTTGAGTGGATCTGGTGGTTTTAGTTCGGGATGCACAGAGTCAAGTTGGTGAATGTGAAGAGACTCTTTCGGTGCTATTACTCCTCATTCACCCACTAGGAAGAATACAGAGCCCTGTTAGCTGTTTGCTGGAAGGTGATCAGTAGCTTCATGGGACTGGATGGAGAAAAAGAGTTAAAGCCTTTTATTTTGTAGTATTTCTTAAAAGCTCTGGATGTTGCAAAGTGCTGTTAACGCTTCCTCAGTTGTGAGGCTGAGCAGGAGCTATTTGCTTTCCTAGTGAGGCAGTTTTGCTGTTGCTATGAACAGGATTGAGAGTTGGGGTGCATAAAAGAAAATATATAGAATAAGTGGCTGGTCAGTTATTACCTGCCCCCTGTGATTACAGCTTCTTTCTGGCTTTCCTCTGTTAAGTGTAAGCTGTGTTTGTTTCTGTCCCTGGTTTCCCAGTCCTGTGGAGGCAGTGGGATGCACCAGTGCTTTGCTTTCCACACAGTACCAGAAAGTGGACTCTTAACGTGCTGTTGAAACCAAAGGCATGTTAAAATACAACATGAGATAGGAACAAACTTTATGGAGAACGTGGTTGCTTTTAAAAGCTTCCTTCTAAAGAGATATTTTGGGGATTTTATTTTTTCACATGAAGGGTTTGGATCCGGAATGTTAGGGAAGTGTTTCTGGGCTGCTCTCCCACTTAAATGAGCCTTCCCATGCAGTTGAAGGCTGCTAAGTCTGTGTCCCTAAAGGGAATATTCTTCATGCAGAATGAACTTTGAGGAAGGAGAGACCTTTATAGGTAAGACTGGAAAAGAGATTCTTCCTGTATTTTGAAATCAAAATCTGGAAGAAAGGGCTCTGGAGTAAAGCACAGAAAAGTGTGTTTTATTCTCTGATTAAAGCTACTGAGTGATGTTTAAATTGAGGCATGAAGGATATAAACTGTTCAGTGTGGTGATGTGGTCAGGGGCATGGAAACCTTTTGTATGTATTATTTCATCTGCAGGATGAGTCATCCAGCATTGTCCCTGTTGGTTGGACAACAGCTTAAAAATGTCCCAGCTTCTAGAGAATAAATCTTGTAACAAGACAGAGTGGGTCTGATGTTCGCAGACAGGTCCTTTACGTGCTGCTTCTTATCCCTGGAGGGGAATTGGAGACTGGTTGGCTGTTTAGAGCTGTTCCCACAAGTCAGGAAGTGAAAGTTACAGAGCATCATGGAATGGTTTGGGTTGGAAGGGAGCTTAAAGCGCATCCAGTTCCAATCCCCTGCCACAGGCAGGGACACCTTCCACTAGAGCAGGTTGCTCCAAGCCCCTGTGTCCAACCTGGCCTTGAACAGTGCCAGGGATGGGGCAGCCACAGCTTCTCTGGGCAACCTGGTCCAGAGTCTGATATAAGTGAGCAGTTTGCAGGGAAAGAAAGAATTGGGCCCTCATGGATCCAAATTTTGCTTCCACCTGGAGGTTAAACAGGATGTATCTTGAGGGAACCATCTAAAAGAAAACAGATCCTGTAGTAGGTTCAGTAGCTTCCCATTACAGCCTGTGGGCTTGGTGGGTTGGGGTGTTTCTTGGAGATGTGTTTATTAATCTACTGTGACTGAGACACATGAGAACTTCACATTAATCTTTTAAACTGTTGCTCTTGTTCAGTGTTATTGTGACTGGATTCCTAATTCCACAGGTGTATCCTCCTTCATTTAAACCCATCTTGCATTGCAAATACTCCCTGGATTGCATTTCTTCATTTTAATACCATGTCTTGTCTTTGTATGTTGTTGCTTATGAAGAGATTTAAGGTTATCATTTATTTGTTACAAAGTCACTAATTTGCCTCTTTTTTGTCTAGATCAAGATGGAGACTTGTCGGGGACAATTTCACTTGTTATGACACAGTGTTGTAAAAGAATAAAAGACACAGTTCAAAAACTGGCCTCTGATCATAAAGACATTCACAGCAGCGTATCCCGAGTTGGAAAAGCCATAGATAAGGTATCTCTAGTGTGGTTTGGTTGTATTATTGCCTGTTTTCTGTGCAGAATTTGGATTTATACTACAATGAATCTTACTTAAACCTTCCTGCCAAGTGCTTGGGGCAGGGGCAGGGCAGTGGGGGTACAGCACTTGCTTCCAGAACTCATTGCATGCAGAGTATTCCTTCTGGGGCAGCTCAAATCTCCTGATACCCAAGTGATCATTCCCTACAGCTATTTGTAGACTTGGTATATGTTCTACCCATTTAGCAAAATATTTTCTTCAATATCTGTCTCAATCAGAAATACTGTTTGTTTTTTTTTTTATATATGTATTATATTTCTAGTTACTTGTCAGTAGGAAACAACTTGGACCTGGCCATTTGTTCTAGAAGGCAGTACAACAGCAGGTTTAAGACATTTTGTACCTATTTCAGGTGTGTTCTTAGGGGCTTCATTTTCTAACACAGTGGTCTTCGTATGAGTAGAGTAGGTTCAACTTCCCGTACTCCCTGTGTCCATGCCATAACAAATAATAAGGTAAGGCAGCTTACCTTTGAAGCTTTGCATGTGAGATACAGGAATTCCAGGTTCAAGAATAACTGGAATCTGAATGTAGTTGTGTAGGTAGATATTAACAATTCTTTGAAATGATACTAAAACTTGGGTTGGTGTTTTCTTGTGGTGCTAGATGTATGCTTTCAGGCCAAGCTTTTCTCCATCTGTGTGGAAGTTGTTCTATATGCATGGAGTCTTGTACTTGCTTTTTTGGGATAGTTTTATATCATAACACACGTTGATAGGATCTAAACATTTGGTTTAAGATGCACCTTATAATCTTACTAAGGAAGACACTAGTAAATGAGTCTCTTCATCTAGACAAAGATGCTTGCAGCATTACAGAATAGTTAGTTATCCTTTGAAACTCTCATTTAAATTCTGTTAGTAATGATAATCTGTTAAAGCATCATTTAATTGTGATGGTAAAACAAAGCGTGATGTGCAGTGAAGACCCAAAGCACATAATGCTGCATTGTTGGGCAGAATGTCTGTGCAGCTGTGGGATTTTTTGCTTGCATCTCTGACTGACCATCATGGAGAGCTCGAACTTCCTCCTAACAGCTTTAATCCAAACGTCACTGTTATCCAAAGCTTAAGGATGCATCTGTCTCTAATCCTTGCTGCTGTATCTAAACTAATTAACTAGAGTACAATTCCATCCTTATTACTGGCTTGAAGCCTGAAAGAAATCTATGTAATCTTGTCCTAAGTTTGAAACTTTCCTGTTCTGCTCTAGCAGGTGGACTTGGTGCAAATAAGCTTTTGGGTTTGGCTATACCTTTCTCATTTAAATACTCTGAGGTAGAATAGGTCATATATAGGGGGTGAGAATATTCAGTGGAAATGGGTGTTAATGTTTCTTGGAAGCCAAAGAAAACTGTACTTGCAAGCTTAATAAAGTTTAGGCTCGAACCTAATCTCCAAATAGCTGTTTCACTTCTCATGTGCATAGCTTTTCCAATGTTGTTTCTCTCCTGCTGTTTTCCTTTCTATTTTTATTTGGAAAAGGATAATTGCAAATAAAAGCATTGTTAAAATGTCAAGTGTGTGGTTTTGTAACACGGTAGGAAGGATACCAACAGTCTGCTCTCTGCCTGTTGAGTGTCGGAAGGTCTCTTCCAGGGAGGTGTTAAAAACCAAGCTCAGCTTGCTGTATTCCCTGTGCTCATTCCTCTGGGTTTGCTGTCTTGCTTGGTGTCATTGGTGTTCATGTGCAAAAACTGGGAAGCAGTGGGAACTTAATGCAAGTAATTTGAATTTTATTAGTTTTCCCTGACTGCAGCATCTTAAGGAAACTACTCTAAAATGGAGTCTTGGGCTGTTTGTCAGGTGCATGTGTGTAACACTTAAATCCAGGTGGAATTTAATGCTTCCCTGCACAGGGATGTCTTCCATACGTACTTCATGTCATTTCCCTGTGCTGCTGGAAAATGTGCTTGAAACCTGCCAGCAAAGTCTTTGTTGAAACCACCCTCCCCACATCCCTTCACCATAATATACTTCAGCTTAAACCAACAGAAGTAGTTCGATGTAACTGATGTGGTGATTCTCAACACATTCTGGGCAAAATCCTACTGCTTCCTGAATGAAGTGCTTGTTGGTGATACAGGAGATTTAATTCTCTCACATGTAAATCCTCATTTATTTTATAGACAGATTAACATCTCTACAACACTGCTTATGGTCTTCCTATGCTCACACGCAGATAAATATCACTCCTTACTTTACTGCCTGCTTGAGACTGGGAAACGTGGTAATATTGGTACCAACTTTATGTGACACATCCAAGTGACAGCTGTTGTTACATGTAGAATCCACGAACTTCCTACATGACAAGCCTGGATTTCGAAAGAACTTGCTCTATTATCTGCTCATGGCAAATTTCAGGTTAAATTCCTTTTCTGCAGTGGTGAGGCAGGGTTTATATATAAAGTCAACTTTATTTTCTATGTCCGTATCTAAAGAGATATTTATATATCTGTATCTAAAGTTTATTTTATATTTCTGTATCTAAAGTTTATTTTATGTATCTATATCTATTTATATATCTATATCTAAAGTTTAGCCTGGTTGGTTTTTAACTTAGATGGGACCTAGGTTTGTCTGCCTGCAGAGTTCAGTCTGAGAACACGAGCTTCGAAGTGTTTGAGAAATGAAGTTCAAATTTGGCATCAAATATGAACCATGTTAAAGTCTGATATGCTCAAACTTTGTTGCTTTCAGTTATCAGTTCCTGGAAAACTTGTCTAATAGACAAGACCTTTTGCTTTTGTAGTAGTTGGAGTCCATGCTTCTGCTCTGTGCCTTTCTTCCAAAGAGCATTTTGTCCTTTGAAAGGCAATGTTTGCATCCAGTTTTTTCTTCATTGTAGTAGCATTCCCTCTGCTTCCAGAACTCAGCACATCACTGGTGTTCAGCAAGTTGTTATCAGGTAGCTCACTCATCAGTCTCCCTGTAAATCAATCACTCTTCTGGAATGATTTGAATTCAGGTTTGATGGGGCTACTGAATGTTCCCCCTCTAGCAACAGTCTGTCTGAGTAGTGTTGAAATACTTTCATTCAGGAAAGCAAGTGGAGTAAATGGTAGTTCCTTGCACGTTTTATCCCTGAATTTTAAGTATTTTTAAAAGGCCACTATTTTAATCCAGTTTTGGTTTGGGAAAGCAAACCTTTACCTAAGTTAGCATTTGTTTCATGGAAAAGCCTGTATACAAATGACTAAAAACCTTTACTGAACATTGTTTCTATGTTGCTGTGAAGAATGGTGTTAGTAAATACATCTTTTGCAAGCTGAGATTTATCTTAGGAACAAACCAATTGAACAGAGAAGGTAAACAGATGTATTTTAGTTGTATTTTGGGTCAGAATTCAGAAGAAGGGAGGAATGCACAAAATAATTGTGAAAATAAGGAATAAAACTGTCCTTAATCATCATCCTTCATATCCTGTTAAAGAGGGTCATGAGGATGCTCAGGGGCTGGAGCACCTCCTGGATGGAGACAGGCTGAGAAAGTTGGGGCTGTTCAGCTGGAGAAGAGAAGCTGTGTGGAGACCTCAGAGCAGCTTCAGTGTCTGAAAGGGGATACAAGGATGCTGGGGAGGGACTCTTCATTAGGGACTGTAGTGACAGGACAAGGGGTGATGGGTTCAAACTGAAACAGGGGAGGTTCAGGTTAGAAGTAAGGAAGAAGTTCTTTACTGTGAGGGTGCTGAGGTGCTGGAACAGGTTGCCCAAAGAAGTGATAAATGCTCCATCCCTGGCAGTGTTCAAGGCCAGGTTGGACAGAGCCTTGGGTGACATGGTCTAGTGTGAGGTGTCCCTGCCCATGGCAGGGGGGGGGGGGGGGGGGGGGGTGTTGGTCAGTCTAGGATTCTATGTTACTAATAACGTAGAAGGTTGGATGTTGGTTAAAATGGTCCATCTTGTGTGTGTGCATCCTGAAGTCCTTCTCACATCCTAGCAATTATCTGGTAATGTACTTTCAATTGTATCAGTAATGTATTTAGCACATAATAGTCTACATTTTAGCCTTAGGCTCTTAAAGAAAGCTTTGTTTCTTGGGAATATCAGCTGATGCTCTTCTAAGCTTAAAACCACACCAAAAAAAGGCACAAAATAACCTTTCTGAAGTTTGTAACTTAGGGAATTTATTTCAACTTCTGCAGTCTTATTAAACCTCACGTGCTGTCAGTTAGCATACTGTTAGCATTTAGAAAACAAAACTGAGAGCTGTGTAGTCACCAGCATATCATGTGTGCATGACAGTTATGAAATATGTAAGCTAAAGGCAAGCAGTAATTTGTTCTGACATGTGACAGTCACTGTAATATGAGCAGTCAGTTCTTGAAGCTTCCCAGGATCCAGAGGAGGGAAAGCTGTAGAATCTCATATGTTAAAGACCTTAGAAATGGTTAAAATCGTAAGAAGTTACTGCAGTGAGAACCTGGTCAAGACTGGGTTGATCAGAGAATGGCTGAGGGGGAGAATCAGAACTGAGGTCTTCAGGTTGTATGGTGTGACTTGAACCTACAACACACCTGAGTTGATGTGGCTCACTGTTATCATCTGTTATGGGACTTAAATCTCTGGTTTATGATGGGGTTTGGAAAAGGTTCTCAAAGCTCAGAGGCTTGTTGTTTCAGAACAAAACATGGGGTTTGTGAAGGAACTGAAGGAAGTGGCTCTGCCACCTCTGCCCCAAGCAATGAGAAGGATGTGAGGATGTTTCAGGTGTAGGTTCAGCTCTGATGGCTGGTAACTGCCCAGAAGAATGCAGTTTCTTCCTATGGGATTATGTGCTAGCTAGGACTTGAAATTGCATGAAGAATAACTGAAAAGTCAATTATTTTCAGGTTGCTGATGATCCTCACCCAGAACTGAAGTAATAAAAGCAACCTTGGGTGGTGTTAATACTGCCTCTGCTGTTTCTTTAATGCATTGTCAGTGGATTTATGTTACCTGCTAGTGGAGTTTGGACAGTGATACCAGAATCAGCAATGGTGGCAAACCTTAAAGGATTCAGAGGGTTGGCACAAATAAAACCAGTGTTATTTAGTCTTCAAGAAGCTTAAGTTTCTTCAAGATACATCTTAAAGATGACCAGCATGACAAGGAGCTTACAGGTTGAGACTCCAAGTGAAGATGTTAAATATGAGACCTGAGTCAGTGGCAGTAATTTAAATGCTCATCTTGCTCCACTGTCTCTGAAGGACAGAAGACACACTTTACCAGCCTGAAGCAGATGTTTTACTGGCAGTTTGGCCTGAAGGGGGTGGTGCTTTTGAAGCCACATGTGCAGGATGATGCCCCTTTTCTCACCATGCCACAGAACAGCATCAAAGTGGATGTGAAGGCGGCTGATGAAGGAAATTAGTAAGTGGCAAGTAAAAGGAAGGTGCCATGTGAAGCTGAGGAAGGTAGCTCGTGCCAGCTTTGTGGTGTTTGCTCTGTGGGCTTTGGCAGGAGGAGGTGTTTGTGCTGGGTCAGTGTTCCTGCACGGGGCGGGACTCTCAATTCTCACATTGCTGAAGCACTGCTGTTCCGCTGAACTTCTGATTTCTGAAGTTCCCTCTTGGAAGAGAGCCACAGTCATGGGAGCAGGCAGCAAGTGACACACTGACTTCTAGACAACATTTCTTTTATAAGAGGTTTGTTTCAGGCGATGGGTGAGGATTTTCATTCGAATTAACCTGCTTGCCCTGATCATAAAACACGTTGGCAGCTTAAATCCTGGTTCATATCTTGCATTAGGGTAAGTGTTGCTCTCCTGCTGCCAAGAGGTACAGTGCCAAGTGTTACTGAAGAGTCACTGTGACAATATTTTTACCTATTCCTGGAATATGTCCATAGGCCGCTGGCCTAAAAATACGTGGCAGCAGGATCATCGGGGTTAGATCTACTAAAGATCTCTCAGATCTTCAAAGCTCATCCTGTTGCCTGGATGCTGAGGCCTTCAGAGATTTGAATGTCATTGTTGTTTGGGGGTGGGGAGAAGTGACATTTTCCTTTTCCAGCATTGTCTACCCCCCAGCTATGTAAAAGAATCCTTGAGTTAAAGCTTCTCCTTCTAATTTGGTGCACTGTAGTGACAGTGATACACTGATAGCGCTATTTCCACTCTCGTGTAGGCGACTTTGTTTTCTGTTCCCTCTGCATTTTCAGTTTTCCCATATGGAAAAAGCCTTTTTCTGCAGATACTTCCTTCAAAAATGCATCACAGTCTGGAAACCCCTTTCTTAATTAACTACATTTCGAATTTGCTACACTTGTACTTTGTCAGTGTAATTCCTTATAGTGAATAAGATTCAGACTTGAAACGAGCAAAACAAAGGATTTCTTCTTCTGTATACAGGAGATAATGAAGCAGCTGATAGGTTTCACTTGGAACAGGAGGGAATTGAGGGCTAACTGAGTAAAAGGCAGAGAAAGCACCAGGGTGGAGACTTCAGTGTCCTGCATAGTGAAAGAATTCCCTGGGGTGATTTGTTCCAGCCTATTAACTGTGGATTTATGTGTTTCAGAACTTCGACTCCGACATCAGCAGCGTGGGGATAGATGGGTGCTGGCAGGCTGACAGCCAGCGGATCCTCAACGAGGTGATGGTGGAGCACTTCTTCAGGCAGGGGATGTTGGATGTAGCTGAGGAGCTTTGTCAGGTAACCATCAGTGTGGATGTTGAATGTTATCAACCCTGGAAAATTACGCTTGGTGTGTTAGCGTCCTTATTTGAGTGTTCCGGGTGAATATTTAAACTGCCAGGAAAAACAGCAGTTTAATCCCATTGGGTTCCATGGTTTAACTAAAAACTGCCTCTGTTTTTTCAGGAATCTGGTCTATCAATAGATCAAAGCCAAAAAGAACCATTTGTGGAGTTAAATCGAATATTGGAAGCATTAAAAGTCAGAGTTTTGAGACCTGCACTAGAGTGAGTCTACTCAGATCTTTATTTTCTTCCTTTTTTGGAATGCTCTAACAAATCCTTAGTTCTTCACTTTAAGCATTATCTTTTAGTAGATTTTGATGCGTCCCTGTTTGTCCTTGGAGAGTCTAGTTACTGAGTGAGCCCCTACCTTTCATCCCCTCTGTGTCCCTCTCCATGGGCAGTGCTTAACTAAAGGTGTCTTTCTTAGATTAAAGATTATCTTGAATCATTTATGGTGCTGATCTAAGGGTTCAGGAAGACACACGGCTTGGAGGAACAGTTGTGTGCCGTGATGGAACTTAGCCTTACAGTGAATCATGAGTGACCTTATATTAGAAGGTCCAAGTAGCAGATATCAGGACTTAGTAAGTTGTATACCACTGGGGCTTTGTGGCTTCACTTTGGGGTGAGCACAGCTTGACTTGGGATCAAAGTTCTCACTTTTCCTCAAGTCATTCTCCCTTTCCTGGTAAGGGATCCCAGGGTGGGAAGAGGGAATGGAAGGACAGGGGGGTGCTTTGCAGGCTGCTGCAGCCAGGTAGGTGCTGATGAGTGCTGGGTGAGATGTGAGCTGCTGCTGGGGGCCTGGACTGATGGTGAGATCTGGTAGTGAGGTTCCTTCTGAACAGAACAGTTCAGTTAATGCAAGTCAGTGGAGAATGCTGAACTCCAGGATGAAAACCAAGTCTGGGAGTATCTGAGGTCTATCAGTCAACCTTAGACCAGGATATTTTCTTGGCCTTAGTAGGCTTTACAACCATTAGATTTGTAAGCTGGTGCTGAAAGTGACAGTGAGGAAGGAAAGGTGATGAAATGTCTCATGGGCTACTGTTTGATGATTTATAGCAGTGGATACATAACTGTGCAGTATCATTCCAGAACTGCTTTTATTTTAAAAGTAAGAAAAACCCAAATAAACCCTCAGCCTGTTGTTTGGTTGGTTGTTTTCCATGTTGTGAGAGCTTTGGTAAGCTTGGGTTGGTCTTGGGAGTAAGGAAAAACCAAAAACCAACACAAAAACCCAAAACAAAGAAAAAAAAAATCCAAACCGAAACAGCTTTGAAGTGACTTTTTAAAAACAGAAATAAACCAAAACGTTTCCTTCCAGAACATAAACTCATATAGTTAAGATCCCCCTTTTCCATTATTCAGTTAAGCACATTTTCATGTTAACATTTTCTTTTCCCTTTAACATGAACCAGCACAGGTATGTCAGTTCAGAGCTTACTGGCATCTAAACCAAGTGCAGAGATACTCTGATATTCCAGCTGTGGTGTTCATAAACTAAATCCTGGATTATGCCTCTGGGTCATGCAAAGCTTGACCTAAATAGTTGGTCTTTGAATATAGTTACAAGCTCAGGTGGTTGATTGCTGTTGAATTAGCTGATTGAAGGGAAGCAACACTGAAATGCCTGGTGTTACAGCTGAAACAGGATTTAGTGTCAGCTACACCATGTAGTTCTTGTGGTTTAAATAATAACATAGCTGTTGTGAAGGATCCTCTGAGGAACAGTAACTTGCTGTTATGGCCATTCACTCGAAGTCTAGATTCATTTAGCACCAGTTTGCCAGGCCTCATGCCTCTTGTGGCTCCTGCAATGTGTTAAATGCTTTTCAAACAAAGGAGAAGGCATGGTCCTTCCATGGAACTCTCATACCAGAAACAGCTGAATGGATAGAGAATAGTGTGTTGTCAGCACAGTTTGTATGCTGGGCTCCTTCCCCCACCCCATCTCATTTCTGTTTCTAATGTTCATTGTGTTCAAACTCCTCAGTGCTAAAGATGCTCTCTTTGCCTCCTGCTGGGCACAGAGGGTCCTTATCTCTAGAATCATAGAACAACAGAGTGGTTTGGGTTGGAAGGGATCTTAAAGCTCCTCTAGTTCCAACCCCTGCCACAGGCAGGGACACCCTCCACTAGAGCAGGTTGCTCCAAGCCCCTGTGTCCAACCTGGCCTTGAACACTGCCAGGGATGGGGCAGCCACAGCTTCTCTGGGCATAGAGATGCCTATGTAAAATTGTGTAATTATGTAAAATGATTGTGATGCTTATGTAAAACCCATGGTTGTTAGTGAGGAGGCCCAAAATGTGACAAAACTATATAGTTCAGGAGGTAACTGAGGTATTAAATGCCTGGTTATTTCACAGAACTGCTGATGCTTGGGAAGGTGTTTCTCTTACTATTTCCCAGCAGACTGGCTGTTCAGGAGGAGGGATAGAAACTGCCCCTGGAGAGATGGCCTCTGGTATCGTGTTCGTAGGGCAGAAAGCTAATAAATGGCTAAAATTGTCTTCAGTAAATACAGCTTCAGGAGTACATAAAAGCAGTCCCAAAGCAGCCTATTCTAGGGTAGCCTCATGCCAGTGGTGGTGAAGCAGGAAGTGGTGTTACACAAGGCTAGTGAATTACAGGCTCCTGAACCAGGAAGGGGAGTGTAGCAGGGTTCACCCATGCACAAGGTTGGGATGAAAACCAGTCTCTCTGGCTCTGCCAGTGCTGGGCTTAACTCGGTGTTGGAATCCAAGCAAACACGGGTGGCTCCTGGTCACTGCCATCCAAGGGAGGTGTCAGATTAATGGCTTTGTGAAAAGACTTTCCAAAGCCTCCCGTGGTGATAGAGAGAAGTTAGTATTCATTAGTATTCATATCTGACTTTTAGTTGCCCAGTCTGGCCCTGCACCCTAAACTGAGTAATCTCTGTGCCTCTGCAGGATCCTATTAATTTCCAGTGGCTTTTCTCACTGTGATTTGTTGATGGGGAGGGAAATCCATAGGTTCTTCCTGGGTGGATTCTGGCCTTTCTGAGCCCAAGTGGGTTTCCATGTGAAGGTCTGGTGGGAATCCCTTGCAGGTTCAAAGCTTTTGACTGTATTCTCCTGAGGAAGAGATACTGTCCTCTCTTGTGTCTGCAAAGCAGCAAGGTGCAGAGGTCCAGGAATTTGCTGGGACCTTTGGGATATGGTTTAAACTTAATTTAAGCTTTGATAGAATTTGTGATTTTATTTTAACTAAATCCCACGTGGGAGCTAGAATCACAGAGTGGTTTGGGTTGGAAGGGACCTTAAAGCTCATGCATTTCCAACCCCTGCTACAGGCAGGTACACCTTCCACTAGAACAGGTTGCTCCAAGCCCCTGTGTCCAACCTGGCCTTGAACACTGCCAGGGATGGGGCAGCCACAGCTTCTCTGGGCACCCTGTGCCAGCGCCTCAGCACCCTCACAGGATACTGTAAACCTTAACAAATTCACATGTATTTGAGTCTCAGAAGTGTAACCACTCTGGAAGTGTTGGTTTGAGGGGAGGTAGGAAGATGGGTGTTGTGACTACCAATGATTTAGTGGTGGTAGAGAATATGTGGGTTGAACGTTTTAGACCTCACTTGTTTTTCTATCTTCCCATTGGCAATAGGAACAGCACATCCTAGACCCAGCACCTCAGGCCTTGCTTCTGTGGCTGTTTGCTTCTGATACAAATCTGTGCTGCCACTCAAAGAGCTAAAAATGGGAATCCTGCCTAAAAGCTAATTTAGAAAAAGAGACTTGATCTCAGCGAGATGAAGTGTCGTGTCATGTGGCTGCAAATATTGGCAGGGAGAGGATGGATGCTGGTTTGATGCAATACAGATTAATATCTCATTAATGGGGCTATGGACTAGGCTAGCTGTTTATAGATAATAGCTTTTTGTCTTTCAGCTGCTTTTTGGTTTATGGTTTTTAACTCCAGTTTTCTGAAGGGAATGAGCTTTATTGCTGCTGTCTCCAGTTTAAACTGCAGACACTGATCACAGCACCCAACCCACCCATGGTTAGTGAGTGTGTCCCTCCCTCCTGGTGGAGGTGACAGTGCTGACAGTCTTCTGAGGCCGCTCATCTGAAACTGCTTGAGGTGTAGGGCTTGTTCCTAGTTCCAAAGCTACACTTTTCACTGTTCTCTACTGAAAGGTAACTGCTGTCATGACAAAGCCTTTAGTAGAGTCAGACTCCTGATCCTTTCACCACAACAAATTGAGTAGATACTTGCTCACTGACACTGCATCTTAATGCACAATGCTAACTTACATTGAAAGGTTTCCCAGCATCTTAAGAATGCTTAATTTTAGTGTTGGTTGAAAAGAACAGAAGCCTCACATAGCCCTTCTTTTTAAGGAACAGAGATTACCTCACTTCCTTGCTGAAAAGTGAAAAGCTCTTTGCTTAATGGGGTCCCCACAGTGAAAATAGTAGAACTAATGAACACTAATGAGAAACAGATGTACTTGAAGAACATTGAAACTTAGTTCGTAAGAGAAAGATTGGATTGATTTAGGCCTGATTAAATTGCATTAAGAAAACAAAATAAAACAACACCCCCCCCAAAAAAAAAACACCCAAGAAAAGGATGGATAAAATCTAAATAATGACTTTTTGTGAAATGCTTTGAAAATTCCAGCTCATTTTACTTGATGTGTGTTTAAGAATTCTTTCATGGTATTTGGGAGCCAAACATTAGCGTTGTCATGGTGAATGAGACCCCGAGAGTGAGAAATAGTTTTATTGTCCAAGTTGAAAATAACACAGAAACCAAGTTTAAGTAGGGGAAAGTATGATATTTAAACTGACTTTCCTTTCTTTGTGGCTCGGTTGATACGCTGGAGGGAAGGGATGGGATCCAGAGGGAGGGACCTTGACACACTTGTGAGGTGGGACCATGCCAACCTCATGAAGTTTAACCAGGCCAAGTGCAAGGTCCTACACCTGGGTCGGCACAACCCCAGGCACAGCTACATGTTGGGTGGAGAAGAGATTCAGAGCAGCCCTGAGGAGAAGGACTTGGGGGTGGTGATTGATGAGAAGCTTGACATGAACCAGCTTCAGTGTGTGCTTGAGCCCAGAAACCAACCGTATCCTGGGCTGTATCAAAAGAAGTGTGACCAGCAGGTCAAAGGAGGTGATCCTGCCCCTCTGCTCTGCTCTTGTGAGACCTCACTTGGAGTATTGTGTCCAGTTCTGGTGTCCTCAACATA